TAAACTGCACTGACCGGGAATCGAACCCCGGTACTTTAACTCACCAGCCGAGTAGCCCACCAAAATTCCGAGACGTCCTAGACACTGATTGATCAGTAGTCTAGTGCGTCTCGGAATTCTGACGTTCTACTCTGTTGGAAAGTTAAAATATCGGGGGTTCGATTCCCGGCCAGTTCACTTTGTTATTAGATAGTAATATATGTGTAAATTATCCATCGAGATAACCCATTTGTAGGGGTCCTTGTATTTCCAGGTTTTTTTTATTTCCGTGGTGGCCCTTGTATTTCTGTGGAGGTCCTTGTATTTCCATGTTTTTTTTTTATTTCCGTGGGGGTCCTTGTATTTCCGTGGGGGTCCTTGTATTTCGACGGAGGTCCTTGTATTTCCACGGAGGTCCTTGTATTTCCACGGAGGTCCTTGTATTTCCACGGAGGTCCTTGTATTTCCACGGAGGTCCTTGTATTTCCACGGAGGTCCTTGTATTTCCGTGGAGGTCCTCTAACTCTGGAACAAGCCTCTGCAGTATCTTAAGTAAAAAGACACAATGGGAACACAAATGCAGTATCTTAGCATGCTGTACCAGATGTGGGATCTGTTTTGGTGCTGCGTACTATAAAATAGGCCTGAAATATATTGAAATATGTTGTTATGATTCCTGAGGGCCACTTTTAAATTTACCAGACGAACAGTGGCCGCAGTGGTAATTCAGTTGACGTGATCCTCTGGTGATATACTAGGTAATATGTTTACCCCCAGGTTCTTCACGTTAAGTGAGGTCTGCAGCCACTGTCTAAAGTCAATTTCTGATCTGACCACTCTTGTAGTTTTTAGTGATCTAGAGAATATGCAGCGTTATTCTGGCCTTGTCGTGTGTGTGTGTACTCGCCTAGTTGTGATCACCTAGTTGTGGTTGCAGGGGAAGATTCACAGCTCCTGGCCCCGCCTCTTCACTGGTCGCTACTAGGTCACTCTTCCTGCTCCACGAGCTTTATCATGCCTCTCCTTAAAGCTATGCATGGACCCTGCCTCCACTACATCACTTCCCAGACTTCCACTTCCTAACAACTCTGTGACTGAAGAAATACTTCCTAACATTACTGTGATTCATCTGAGTCTTCAACTTCCAATTGTGACCTCTTGTTGCTCTGTCCCATCTCTGGAACATCCTGTCTCTGTTCACCTTGTCGATTCCTCTCGGTATTTTATATGTCGTTATTGTGTGTGTGTGTGTGTGTGTGTGTGTGTGTGTGTGTGTGTGTGTGTGTGTGTGTGTGTGTGTACCCTGCCTACCAGCTGGGATGGGAAGCCAGACTAAAGCAGCCTTGGGTCACCTGTCCAGTGAGCTTTCTCCATAACTCCCTCTCCAACAGTCAATCTCCAACAGTCCCTCTCCATCACACCCTCTCCAACACTTCCAGCAGTTTTGCCTTTTTCCATATAAAAATAATATTAAATGCAGTATATTATTATTATTATTATTATTATTATTATTATTATTATTATTATTATTATTATTATTATTATTACTGTATTTTTTAGGAAGCGCTAAAACCGTAGAGGTTATACAGCCTTGATAAATGGGAGGTAATTAGGTTTAATGTAAATAAGGGGAAAATAGCTTGGATCGAGAGCCTTGGATCGAGAGCCTTTCACCAGCTTCTTGAGGGTTGTGTTATATTAAGTCTTGATGTGATTGGTGGACAGATTGTGACGTCATGGGCACGAAAGAGACGTCACAGAGGCTGACCAATAGCAGGTTGCAGGGTAACTGCAGGTTGATAGTTGCATTTTATCGTGTGCAACATGGACCTACGTGCACCTATATAACATTGCAACACTATTTGCAATATTAATATTCTAATTACTGCAATCCTCAACATTTGCAATCATTTTCCGGCAACAGATTGATTGGCAACATTCAGTGATGCAAGCCTACTGCAACACTGTTGCAAGCCTACTACAAAACTGTTGCAAGCCTACTGCAACACTGTTGCAAGCCTACTGTAACACGGTTGCAAGCCTACTGCAACACTGTTGCAAGCCTACTGCAACACGGTTGCAAGCCTACTGCAACGCTGTTGCAAGCCTCCAACACTGTTGCAAGCCTCCTCCAACATTGGCAGTGTTGGTGTAGAGTGAACTTGCAGTGTTGGTGTAGAGTGAACTTGCAGTGTTGGTGTAGAGTGAACTTGCAGTGTTGCTGTAGAGTGAACTTGCAGTGTTGGTGTAGAGTGAACTTGCAGTGTTGGTGTAGAGTGAACTTGCAGTGTTGGTGTAGAGTGAACTTGCAGTGTTGGTGTAGAGTGAACTTGCAGGGTTGGTGTAGAGTGAACTTGCAGTGTTGGTGTAGAGTGAACTTGCAGTGTTGGTGTAGAGTGAACTTGCAGTGTTGCTGTAGAGTGAACTTGCAGGGTTGGTGTAGAGTGAACTTGCAGTGTTGCTGCAGAGTGAACTTGCAGTGTTGCTGTAGAGTGAACTTGCAGGGTTGGTGTAGAGTGAACTTGCAGTGTTGCTGTAGAGTGAACTTGCAGTGTTGCTGTAGAGTGAACTTGCAGTGTTGCTGTATGTGTAGCAGCCACATGTACAACGCTACGTAGGTCACTCCAAAACTTTTCTTTCGTGTGATAGGTGGAAACAGGTTCCTCTGATCCACTTCAGAATTTCAATAGTAGTGTTTTCTACTGAGTAGAAGGTAGGGAGAAAAGACTCCCCTGGGGCCTCTTAGGGGACCTTCAAGGTGGCCCCGGAAGCCCTAGGGGGGTCAGTGCCCAGCACCATGAGGGGTAAATGAAGTCTGGGGTTGATGGCGGGGTCTTGCAAGTGACCGCAAAGGCGCTATAACCTGGCTTTTCCACCCACCGCATGCGGCCGCCCCTCCCTCATTCTCCACCTCTCCTCTCCCCCTCCTTGCGGCCGGTGATGCTGCCTGCTCTCGCGGCCGCCCCTGCTCTTCCTACGACTTCTCTTACCCCTTGCGGCCGCGTGCGGTCACTCGCTTTGCAAAATGGTGAGTAGTGATTCAGTGGAGTTTTATATGACTGTCGAGGGAGTGATTTATTGCTGCCCTCACTGGCATACCCCTGCCCGTGTGTGTGGAGAGGGAGAGAAAGGGGCAAGACGACAAGGAGAGGGAAAGAGAGGAGAGAGGGGGCAGGGCTAGATGAAGAGGGAGAGAGAAAGAGATGGGGGGGCAGAGCTAAGAGGGGAGAGAGAGAGACAGAGTCTGTAGCGCAGACATTTCGTCTGCGCTACAGACTTCTTCAGTCGAATACTGAGGTGAATCACGAAGACATCAGCGTTGATGGAAGACGAAGTAGAGTGATGTAATTTATCCATCAGTTATAAGACAGAGAGAGAGAGAGAGAGAGAGAGAGAGAGAGAGAGAGAGAGAACCCAAGCAGATACAATGATGATGTCTGTTATTGTTACTGTTGTTAATAGAACTCTATCTATAATTATTATTGTGCAGTGAAACTATTGTAATTTTAAAATGGTACGGCATATTATTTTGTTTATAATAATCTTTAACGACTGTCTACCTGGAGGCCGTTCCTGGGGTCTACCTGGAGGCCGTTCCTGGGGTCTACCTGGAGGCCGTTCCTGGGGTCTACCTGCAGGCCGTTCCTGGGGTCTAACTGGAGGCCGTTCCTGGGGTCTACCTGCAGGCCGTTCCTGGGGTCTAACTGGAGGCCGTTCCTGGGGTCTACCTGCAGGCCGTTCCTGGGGTCTACCTGGAGGCCGTTCCTGGGGTCTACCTGCAGGCCGTTCCTGGGGTCTACCTGCAGGCCGTTCCTGGGGTCTACCTGGAGGCCGTTCCTGGGGTCTACCTGGAGGCCGTTCCTGGGGTCTACCTGCAGGCCGTTCCTGGGGTCTACCTGCAGGCCGTTCCTGGGGTCTACCTGGAGGCCGTTCCTGGGGTCTAACTGGAGGCCGTTCCTGGGGTCTACCTGCAGGCCGTTCCTGGGGTCTACCTGGAGGCCGTTCCTGGGGTCTACCTGGAGGCCGTTCCTGGGGTCTACCTGCAGGCCGTTCCTGGGGTCTACCTGGAGGCCGTTCCTGGGGTCTAACTGGAGGCCGTTCCTGGGGTCTACCTGGAGGCCGTTCCTGGGGTCTACCTGGAGGCCGTTCCTGGGGTCTACCTGGAGGCCGTTCCTGGGGTCTAACTGGAGGCCGTTCCTGGGGTCTACCTGCAGGCCGTTCCTGGGGTCTACCTGGAGGCCGTTCCTGGGGTCTACCTGCAGGCCGTTCCTGGGGTCTACCTGGAGGCCGTTCCTGGGGTCTACCTGCAGGGCGTTCCTGGGGTCTACCTGGAGGCCACTACGGGGTCAACGCCCCTGCGGACCGGTCCATGACCAGGCCTCCCTTTGGATCAGGGCCTAATCAACGAGGCTGTTACCGCTGGCCGCAAATATTCCAACGTACGACTCACAGCTCTACTGATCCGGCACTGACTAGGTATCTGTCCAGCTCCCTCTTGCAAACAACCAGTGGGGTATTTGTAATTCCCCTCATGGTAAAGTACTGTGGACTCTCATACAGAGTTTGCAGGTTCGAGTCCTGCTGTGGACGTAGAGACAATATATATATATATATATATATATATATATATATATATATATATATATATATATATATATATATATATATATATATATATATATATATATATATAATGCAACTTGAGGTGTATGTATTTTAGTGTGTATACCGAGAGTTTAATATCTATATTAAGGATGAAAGTATTTTTAACTGGTGTACAGGTGCTGTGCAGCCATCATGGTCCTCGTGTTGTTGATAGGCCTTAAACATCATTAACGATAGTTAAGAGAGAGGGAGTGACCTGTTGCGCAGGTAAATATTTCTGGTTAGTTCACTACTAGTCGTGAACCTGGCGAGTCGTGAGTCGTAGACCTTGGTGAGTCGTAGACCTTGGTGAGTCGTGGACCTGGCGAGTCGTAGACCTTGGCGAGTCGTGGACCTGGAGGAGAGTCGTGAAAGTGGTGAGTCGTGCGTGGACCTGGTGAACCTGGCGAGTGGTGCGTGAACCTGGCGAGTTGTGCATGAATCTGGCAAGTCGTGCGTGAGCCTGGCGAATCGTGAACCTGACAAGTCGTGAACCTGGTGAGTCGTGAACCTGGTGAGTTGAATGATGCATGACGGAGTGTTGGTCATCTGGTGTTCCATGTTGATCTTGCATATGGTTCTTCTCTGTGTTTAATATGTCGGAGCATAATGTCTGTTTGTGGCACTTATGATTAATGTTTGAGAAGTCAGTGAGCAAATGCCTGGGAGTGCCTCACGTGAGAGGCACTTGTAGGGGATACTCTTACATTTTGCCTTGCCAGTCTGAGGCATTTGTCTTCCTCTTTCATATTATCCCGTTGTGGGAGTGTGAGAGTATACATTACCTTTGACATATCTTTGATATACCTTTGAAGGGTTTCGAGGGAGTTTTTCTGCTCCCGCAGCCGAGCCTGGTGCCTGCCTGTGATCAACTAGGCTGTTACTGCCGGCGGACCGCTGGTCCACATATCCATCACGGCCTGTGTGATTTGGAATTTGGCCATATCATCCATATCAGTTTCCTCTTGAAGACTTCTAGACTTGTTCCGGCAATGTTTCTGACATCTTGTGGCAGAGGGTTAACATTCTGGGACCACGCGTGTTGATACAGTGCTCTCCTAATGTGCCCACGGCGCCCCTGCTTTTCACTGGATTTAGTTTACGTTTCTTCCCTGTCTCTCAGTCCAGTTTGTTATGGCAGTGAACAGATTTAGGTTTAAGTCCTCAAGGATTTTCCACGCTTATATTATCAAGCGCGTGTTTTCCACACCAGCGAGGACATATTTAAGGCTGTGAGACTTTCCCAGTAATTTATTTGCTTTATTGCCTTGATGTAGTCAGAGCTGTTCTAGCTCTGATATCTCCTCCGCTTTGAATTGTGTCATCACTGACATTATTTTCCTTGCTTTAAGACCCATCATTATCCACCCTGCCATTTTTCTGGCTATCGTGATATTTGCCTTATTTTTGTTCTATGAATAACCCGCACATAGAAGAGAGGAGCTTACGACGACGTTTCGGTCCGACTTGGACCATTTACAAAGTGTGACTTTGTAAATGGTGTAAATCAGACCGAAACGTCGTCGTAAGCTCCTCTCTTCTATGTGCGGGTTATCTTTTTATCGTTCCAGTCACGGTATTGTGCCTCTTTGTTATTTACTTCTATGAAGGGAAGGGAAGGTAACATTATTACACCTAGATCTTTCAACTGTTCTTTCGTTCTGTTTGATCTTGCTGTTTATATACAGTCTCTCTCTCTTGAGTTTTTCATTTTTTCCTTATCTAAGTAGCTGGAACTTGTTACCATTGACCGTCGTTATTCTCCACTGCCCACTGCAAGACTTTGCTAATATCGTCTTGCCATTTTTTCTTGTCTTCTACCAAGGTGAATTTCATGCTTATATTATAAATCACTTGTAAATAATAACTCACAACTGTGGCGAGTGTTTAGATCTGCCTTAGGGTACGGAATTATTATTTTTACCTTGCTATGGCTAGATTTTATTACATTTATTATCACTCTGTGTTCTATTTGTGAGAAAGTTGAACACCCATGAACCTACTTTCCAAGGTTATATTTATCATCCTCATTTTGCGTACAATCTCCCTATGATCACATTGTGAGTCATTGTGGAGTCAGTGATCCCATTCTACCAACTAATTATTATAATTATTATTATTACTAGAATTATTAAATACGCTGACCTCATATAATACCTCATTCGTTTTTCCTTTCCCCCTCACTACCGACCGTTTCCCCCTCACCACCGACCATTTCCCCCAACCATATCCCCCCACTACCGATCATTTTCCCCCACTACCGATCAATTTCCCCCCACTACCGATCAATTTCCCCCCACTACCGATTAATTTCCCCCCACTACCGATCATTTTCCCCCACTACCGATCAATTTCCCCCCACTACCGATCAATTTCCCCCCACTACCGATCAATTTCCCCCCACTACCGATCATTTTCCCTCACTACCGACCAAACAGCCATTTTTCCCACTAATGTATCATCATTGTTATTATCGTGAGTCTAGTAATTATGTCTTAATTAAGGCAGCGGCTGCATGAACGTGTAGGCGTCATGTTTAATGACCTCTCAGTGACGTTTATGTCTGGAGTCGTAATAACCTGGTAACTAGGGGTCGTTACCACCTCTAACTTTACTGCTCGCTCTCTCTCTCTCTCTCTCTCTCTCTCTCTCTGTTGATATATTTTACATGTCAACACTTGTTTCAGATTTAGGAACGAGTGTTAGGGATGTATATACACTGAGAGATGCACACTTCCCAGTGTATATACACTGAGAGATGCACACTTCCCAGTGTATATACACTGAGAGATGCACATTTCCCAGTGTATATACACTGAGAGATGCACATTTCCCAGTGTATATACACTGAGAGATGCACATTTCCAGTGTATATACACTGAGAGATGCACACTTCCCAGTGTATATACACTGAGAGATGCACACTTCCCAGTGTATATACACTGAGAGATGCACATTTCCCAGTGTATATACACTGAGAGATGCACATTTCCCAGTGTATATACACTGAGAGATGCACATTTCCCAGTGTATATACACTGAGAGATGCACATTTCCCAGTGTATATACACTGAGAGATGCACATTTCCCAGTGTATATACACTGAGAGATGCACATTTCCCAGTGTATATACACTGAGAGATGCACATTTCCCAGTGTATATACACTGAGAGATGCACACTTCCCAGTGTATATACACTGAGAGATACACACTTCCCAGTGTATATACACTGAGAGATGCACACTTCCCAGTGTATATACACTGAGAGATGCACACTTCCCAGTGTATATACAATGAGAGGAGAAAAATGGCGGCCGTTTGCTCCCTTTTCTCTTTGTGTGTAATAAACCCACCCACCTGACCTACAAACCATCCAACTCACCCACCCACCTGACCCAAAGACCTAAACGACCGACCCACCCACAAGCCTAGCTGACATCCCCCCCAAACCCACCCACCCACCAATTCGACCCACGCAATAACCTACCTGACCCACCCACTCACATAACCCAGCCATCCACCTCACTCGCCCACCACCACCTCGGACTTTTTTGGGTTATCCTGGGTACCATAAGTGTATGATAGTTATACTTATGTATACTTATACTGAAATAAACTTAAACCACACACATGCACGTATATCCGTATCTCAGTGAGTGAGAGAATGGGGAGTTTAGGGGGAGACCGCTCCCATTTCCAATAGATTGAAATTCCTCCTAGTAAACTGTTAGAGAGTGAGACGGTGGGAAGGACGATGGAGAGACAGGGAGGAAGGGGGAGACAGGGAGGAGGAGACGGGAAGGGAGAGGAGAAAGGGAGGGAGGGGGAGACAGGTAGGGAGGGGAAGACAGGGAGGGAGGGGGAGTCAGGAGGGAGGGGAGACAGGGGAGGGGAGACGGGAAGGGAGGGGGAGAAAGGGAGGGAGGGGAAGACAGAGAGGGAGGGGGAGTCAGGGAGGGAGGGGAGACAGGGAGGGAGGGGAGACAGGGAGGGAGGGGGAGACAGGGAGGAAGGGGGAGACAGGGAGGGAGGGGGAGACAGGGAGGGAGGGGAGACAGGGAGGGGGAGACAGGGAGGGGAGGGGAGACAGGGAGGGAGGGGGAGACAGGGATTGAGGGGAAGACAGAGAGGGAGGGGGAGTCAGGGAGGGAGGGGGAGACAGGGAGGGAGGGGAGACAGGGAGGGAGGGGGAGACAGGGAGGAAGGGGGAGACAGGGAGGGAGGGGGAGACAGGGAGGGAGGGGGAGACAGAGAGGGAGGGGGAGTCAGGGAGGGAGGGGGAGACGGGGAGGGAGGGGGAGACAGGGAGGGAGGGGAGACAGAGAGGGAGGGGAGTCAGGGAGGGAGGGGGAGACGGGAGGGAGGGGGAGCGGGGAGGGAGGGGGAGACGGGAAGGGAGCGGAGGGGGGAGACAGGGAGGAAGGGGGAGACAGGGAGGGAGGGGGAGACAGGGAGGGAGGGGAGACAGGGAGGGAGGGGGAGACAGAGGGGGGGAGGGGGGGGGGAGACAGGGAGGAGGGGGAGACAGGGAGGGAGGGGAGACAGGGAGGGAGGGGGAGACAGGGAGGGAGGGGAGACAGGGAGGGAGGGGAGACAGGGAGGGAGGGGGAACAGGGAGGGAGGGGGGAGACAGGGAGGGAGGGAGGGGAGGAGGGGAGACAGGGAGGGAAGGAGGTTAAAGAAGACTAGTAATGACCAACCACGAAATAGCTCCATAAAGGAGGTAAATTTTTAGTCTTGTTCTGTAATGTTGCTGTGTGTGTGTGTGTGTGTGTGTGTGTGTGTAGGGTCAGTCTTCCTTTCACCGTTTATCTCTGTTCTTTCCTTCTTCCTTACATCTTGTATTTTCGTTCGTTCTCTTGATCGGAGTTGACCGCCTCACATAGAACCCAGATTGACTCCGGTATTATCTAGAGCGCCGATGTTATTGAACTCCATACAGCTGGAATGTCAACATTGTGCTCTATATAGATCTGTAATATCAACAGCTTTGTGTTGTCTCCCTCCCACTTTCTCTTACGTTCTTCCTCCTTCTCTTCCTCTTTTCTCCTTCTGTCTCGATACATTTGTTTTTGTGGGTTAGGGCTTAAGGTATAAGAGTGGGTTTAAGGTGTGGGGGTGGATTTTAGGTGTGGGATGTGGGTTTAACGAGATACTGGGGTGGGCCTAAAGTGTAGGAAGAACATATCCATCCTGTGAAGGGTACCATTCGAGCATATGCATACATAAAAGGCCTAGGAGCTAGGCCATGAAAGGTTTTAACATGAATACATCTGGATTTATATCTACAGTTGAGTTAACTGTTACACGCATATTTTAACACATTTGCTTAATATGTCTGGTATCTTACAACATTTTCATTAAGATATCTTGACATATATGGGTTATTATACTGTCTCTATATTCCTCAGTAAGTGGACAGGCACAGTGTTCATGATAGTGACCGTAGGGTTGGCCACATGGTTCACATTAAGTGTGATCATCTGTGTGTCTGCCAAAGTGCCAGAAGTACTTGTAACCAAGCCTAAACCTGGCTACTATAGCATCAGTCAGTCTGTTCACGTTGCAAGTTGCTCCATAAACATACTTATTTTCATTCATGTTATAGTGGGTTATAGATCTACTCAGGCTTCTAACTGATTCTTATAATATTATTTCATTATTTCTCTCCTAGTATTATTCTTAATGTTAGATACACCAAAGTTATATTCTACATTTTCCTTCAGGGAAGTTCCCTTGGTTAACTTAAGAAGTTTATAATGAAGGAATAACAGTGTGTGACGGAATTCATATGAATTATACACTAATTCCCGTCTCTTCGATTTTTAATATCCATGTTGGGCTTTCCCGGTGAGCATATTAGTTATTATGTGAATCAAGTGCCTCAGTGATGACAGACTCAGTAATAATCAGTCAAACTCAGTGCCGTTAGGATGGCAAACAATTCGGTTTGCAATTTATTAATTCTTATGCCTAACTCAACTGTTATTGTTGTCTAGGAAGGTGGTAACAAGAGTAGACTCAGCTCTGCCAGTAGACTCCTGCTTGTATCCATCAGTGTATATAATTTGTGATATACACAGATAATCCACACATAGGAGACACAATAGTGTCACATTAGTTGCACATGTGTCCTTTTACCTGTCTCTAATATCTGTTAAGAAATACCCAAGTGAATAACGGAGTTTTTGTCCGTCCTGGGTAGTGTCAAGGAAGTCCCTTAACCGTGGATTGACCGGTAGACACCTTGCTGGTCATGGCCTGCCCAGTGACCACCTCTGCTCTAGTTGTTCACTTAGTCTATAAAGAAGAGTGAATGAGGGAGGTCTTCCTTACCTCACCTTCTCTCCCACCTTCTTCCGCTCTCACCTGGTACCTTAGAGTGATGGAGGTGACACCTCTTACCCTCTCTCTCTCTCTCTCTCTCTCTCTGTCTGTCTGTCTGTCTGTCTGTCTGTCTCTCTCTCTCTCTCTCTCTGTCTGCCTCTCAGTGTCTGTCTTTCTCTCTCTGTGTGTCTCTCTCTCTCTCTCTGTCTCTCTCTCTCTCTCTCTCTCTCTCTCCCCTCTCTCTCTCTCTTCTCTCTCTCTCTCTCTCTCTCTCTCTCTCTCTCTCTCTCTCTCTCTCTCTCTCTCTCTCTCTCTCTCTCCCCTTTCCCTCGACCGCTCTGTACGTTGCCCTTTTTTTTCTAAGCCCCCTTCGACAATTTATGACTCGTGGTTTGTCGTCCACGTTGTCGTTTTGTGGAAATTTTGCCAGGTTGATCTTGTCAGTTCACTGTATCGCTTTCTAAGCCTCTAATTTAAGCGTATATTTACATACTGTTTGTGAATGTGTTCCACGAATTCTTGAGCGTCAAGGGACTTTCATCGCTCCGATCTGAAACATTTTGCGATCTGCACTTTTTCTTAGGGTACGTTGTGTGTTTCTTGTTTTATATAACTGGAGTGTTGACTATCACGAGTACTTGTTATTTCTGTGGATTTGTAGCCATTAATATGTAGTGGAATTGTATCCTTTATATCATAAGTTATATATGTACAGATCTTATATGTGTATATATATATATATATATATATATATATATATATATATATATATATATATATATATATATATATATATATATATATATATATATATATATATATATATATATATATGCAATAAGATCACAGTAAACAGGTGGTTTCAGAATATGCAAAACAACTATATATAATGCTATCCTTGAGGGTGAAAGAAAGATGACTGATGTAGATCATCAATGCTATATTTACTAGTGAGAACTATGATGATTTTGTCGCGATACCGAGAATACCTCTGGTGTTTTACTGCAGCACATGATGGTCTCCTACACATTGTTTACACTCACCTCTACACTGTCCATGGGAAGCAGTACCCAGGGCCTACGAAAGAATCATAATCAAATTAAGGTACCATAGTTTTATATTTGTTATAAGCCTACCGTAACTTTCATTTGGTTGTGCTTGATATACACATTATAATTTCCTATGTGTCTAGCAAATTTTATTCGGTTGGTACAGGGTTGGGTACTGAGAATTGGCAGCGGCTGATGTAATCCTGTAGCATAGGACTGAAGAGTAAACTCAGTACCATGTTTCATCTTGTATGTCTCATGTTGTTAATAATAGTTTGTGGGATCGCGTTATGTTTGTTTGGGCGTCGACTGGTTGTATTGGCCTTTCAACTCTTTCAACCATAGCCTACAGTAGCCTGTTTGTATCGAGCAGTCACCGGCGTACCTTCAGGTGAATTACTCGTGGAAATGAAAACTGGAAGACGGTTCAATCTTTCCTGTGCCATTAACAAGTTGCGAGAGATAGTGGCATAAAACGGACCGAAACATACACATTTTTATTTTATATTTGTAAGATAGTTGTGAACTGGTGCAGCAGCTGTATTGAGATTTGTACAGCCTCGCATTTCCTGCGGGTTTTGAAATTGGCGTTTCTCCAGACTGTAGGTAATGTCCTCACACATACTGTGGGTCTGTGGTTCGGTCCCCAGCATTGTTTAAAACGCTGGACATGTTTCATTACACCTGTTACTCCTGTTCATCTAGCAGGAAGCAGGTACCAGGTGTTAGTTGACTGTTGCATCCCAGGAATGAGGATGGTAGTATGCATTAGATTGGCCTATGCTTTGAAATAGGCTGAGGTAGCATAACAGTTCTTAGCGTGCAATTCAAGTCTATTAAAAAATCTCAACGTGTTAAGGTAAGGAAATCCGAGGAAAATGGAGATGCATTCTCGGCACCTCCCAATTTTTTATTTATTATTTAGTTAGGTGAAATAGTTTCTGATACCATACATTGTAGAAGTTGTTGCTTGTTGATCCCGACATGTGGGAAGAGGGTTGATGTTGCCTTACAGTACCTGTTCAAACTTTACCAGCCATCACCACTTGAATTCAACATCAACGAAGGTCAACAACATTGGAGTTTGTGTCCTAAACGAGAGTAGCCACCTACTGTATCACCACCGGCATGCAGGAAGCCGACCACTGACTCTGTGTTACTCCATATAAACTGGTAAAGACACACACAAGCAACAGTAGACTTTATTAAGACTGTCTTAATAAAGTTTCTATTTGATGCTTGATTGTCTTTAGCAACTTCAACTTGTCGGTAGTTCTCTACCATCTACTACAAAAACTGGGAAGCAGGGCTCAATACAGCCTTAATAAGTGATGACCCTAAAACCACTCAACAGTAAACTCGCAATTAAAATACTGTATATTAACTACGCAAATTATAGATTAAAAGTGAAAAGAAAGAGTTTTATCATATCCTAAATTCCTTGTCTCCTCTTTGCTGTAGAAGTAATGAATATTTTATACTGCCTCTCTGGGCCAAAGTTTTGATAGGACAATTTCCTATGGCCTTTGATCAACTGACGCCTCTCACACTACATAATATTATTGCCTAAAATGTTTTAAAAGTGACTAAGAATTTTATCTTACATTAAAATCCTTCTCCTTTTTTCGTTATAGAAGCGTAGGAAGATTGTGACTTTACTGGGCCACAATTTTTATGTGACAATTTCGTGTGGCTTGAGCTGAGGTGATGCTGCTTGTGTCTTGGGTATATGAGAAGTCTGTCAGAGTAACTAGATTATGGTTCAGTGTTTACAGAGAGTAGTTACAGTAGTCCCGCGCGATCACCTCTGATTTCACCCAAAATCTTAGTTTCATCAAACTTTATGGCATGAAGAACTCCGATAATTCCTGCAATTTCTCGACTTTTGAAAATAATTTCACTACAAGCGTTCAGTGTCACCGCGGGAAACGTGTGACTTTATTGAAGTGATAGTGAATGACGTATCTCTGCCTGGTTTCTTGAGTTCATCTATTTTCGAAGTTTGACCGGAGGCCAGACTTCATTGCTGTGTGGCCAACCAAGTTGTTGTTATTGTTGCTAGCAACACGCAGGCCTATAGGCACAGCCAGCACACTGCAAGACACGGTGCTAACCACGAGGCTGATTTTCAAGGTGATCTTTGAGTGTTGACTTCAGAGTTCTTGTCTGCTTGTATTGCAGGTTTGGCCGGGTCCGGGATGAGCAGCAGCTACGGGGCTCAGCAGCACTACTGTCTGCGCTGGAACAACCACCAGCACAATCTGCTAGGGGTGCTGGAGGCGGTGCTCACATCCCAGCAGTATGCAGACGTCTCTATCTTCTGTGAAGGTAAGTCGCCTCCCAAGTCATTTCATTATGCCTTAAAACCTTGACTTCAAGGGACCGGGGGAAGGGGTTACCTCTCCTACATGCCGGTAAAGGGCCCTTGATCCAAGGAAATGGCGCTGTTCTTCTCTTGGCCTGATTAATCTCTCGTGTCTCCAGACGCCGTATATTTTCTACAAGTTTATCTCTCTCTCTCTCTCTCTCCTTTCTTACCTCTTCCCCTCATCTAAAGTTTTGATCTTGTGCTTTCTCTCCTTCCCCTCCTTTCCCTTCCATGTCTCTGGGAAGACAATTCTCCTCTACATAAAAGGACGCAGAACTTTAGCAAAAAAAAAAAATACGAACCAGTAACGCTAACATCATTATCATTAACGTCAGTAGCAATAACGACGCACATCAAAAATCTTTGAAAGGATAGAGAGTCTCGCAGTTACAGACTTAACGGAATAAAGATGACCAATACAACTCAGGTTCACATGGATTTAGAGCGGGAGGATTATGTTTGTCACAACTACAAGATCATTATGACAGAATTACGGAGGATTTAATAGGAAAACAAAACACAAATAAGGTCAACATGGACTTCTCTAAGACATTTGACAAATACAATCACGGAATAATAGGATAATGGATAATTATTGTTTAACGTGTTAGAACATAATTAGCAGAAAACAAAACCAAATCTAGTCTTAGCACATTAAAAAGATGAGTACCCCAAGGCACAGTCCTGGCACCTTGAATGCTTCTTATTCTAGTGGCAGACATAGCGCCACAGCTTCGCATCATCCTTTGCGGTATTTTATCCTTTATCAAATGATAGGAAAATAAGCATGATAGTAGCCTCGGTAGAAGACAGAAAAAAAATTGCAAGCAGATAACAGTAAATTCTTGTAGAGGCAGATGGAAAATAACATGACGCTTAATGGTGACAAATTCCAAATGCTCGAAAAGAAAAAACGAACTCTGAAGGAACGCTGGATATAAACTACAGGAAGACCGTCTCACAGAACGAAAGAAACCTAAAAGACTGGGGTATAATATCTGCTAACCTATCATTTAGAGAACAAGGTAATAGAAACAAGGGAACAAGAGAAACTATGCAAGAGGTGACACTGCTACAATCACTTGTGCTTCTCTCGTTTTGAATGTCCTTCAGTACTGATGGCTTCTTTCCAAGCAAGAAAGATATTAAAAATCGTTTACTGTCTGCATAGTCACTGACGTATTTAAACTTTTGGAATGTACTCTCTGGCGTGAAGAGAGCGACACCTGATACAAGGAAGATACTTGAGTGAGAATTAAGAGAGGAAGTGTATTATTATTATAAAAAAAGCGCTAAACCAAGAGGAAGTGTAAAATAAACCCAGTGAAAAATAGGGAGCCACGGGTACAGTAAGAACACACTATGTCAACATCACATTTTCGAAACATTGCCGGAACAACTGCTGAAGTAGAAAAAACCGAATCACTACCTCCATCAAGTGCCAGATCGTCCAGGCTGTGATGGCTGTGTGGGCCAACGGATTACTTGGAGTATACCTGGAGGGAGTTTCGGGGGTCAACGCCCCCACGGCCAACAGCAGCAACCTACTTGAAAGGGGGGGGGGTGCAAAAACCTTTGAAACAGGTCACAGGAGGCCTGGTCTGGGACGAGGCAGTAAAAACAGTGACATTTGAAAACATCTAAGGTAACTTTCACGTATATCACAGTGATGTCACTCTGCCCTTCATCCCACTATCTGATATTTCCTCCCTCTTCCCTTCTCTCACTGTTTTCCTCACTTTCCACCTCTTCCTACTTCCCTCCCACTTGCCTCTTCCTCCACGTCCCTCTAACATATTCCACGTCACACCACAAACTGTTGTTCACCCACTTCATAAGAAGTGGGTATAAGAACTACTACTACTACTACCACCACTACTTCCTGAAGTACCACCTTCAGAAGTACTCAGAGAACATCGAGACACGTTGTGAATGTATATATATATATATATATATATATATATATATATATATATATATATATATATGAAATTGGCCTAGAGTCATCCACACCACCGTATGTCCTTGGGTAGCGAGTACAACATCCGGTTCTACTGGATGCACTGCTCTTAAGGATTGTATGGTCTCGTGGATTAAGGCGTCATGACTTTTCGCCCACCATGAGGCAGGCCAAAGCAGCATGGGTTCGACTCCTTGACTAGTCGCAGTGTTGTTATTGATCAATGCCACTTTTTCGTGGGTACAATTTTATATATATATATATATATATATATATATATATATATATATATATATATATATATATATATATATATATATAATATATATATATATATACACACACACACTTATGGAGAGAGTACCTAAGTGAAGTCTCCCGAAGAACGGAGTCCTTCCTGAAGTCTGGAGGAAAGAGTACCTCCTTAGGGTCTGCAGGGGTATCTTTTTGAACCTCCGAGGAAGAGGGAGTAATAACCTTATTCCTCCTGAAGGAGGGAACGCGCTCATAAAGCCTCCTAGTGGAAGCAATACCCTTCTGAAGCCTCCTATTCCTCCTGAAGAGAGGGAAAACAAAATGTTCTGACGTCTCCTCAAGGATGAAATACCCTTCTGAACCCATCAAAAGAACAGAATACTTTCCCTAATACTCCTGAAGGTAGAGAGAACCTTTCTGACGTTTCCTGAAGGAAGGCTGGCGGGCGGGCCACCCGCCCCGCCCCCTGAGAAGGTTTTACTGCGCCTTATTACAGTTTTACTGCCACACCGCGGAAAAGCGCAGCAGGTGCCCGGCTCAGATTCACCTGCTTTATTTTTTGCCACCCTTTTTTTTCTCTCTCTGAGGGCGCTGAGTAATCCTGGGGTAAGGCCGCCCTCCCCTGCTCTCTCTCTTTCTCTAGGTCTCTCCCTGCTTCCTTTCTCTGTAGGTCTCTCCCTGACCCTCTACCATTCCCCTCTATCATTTTTCTATTCCCCTCGACCACTCTTCAGTTTCCTTCTGTAGAGCAGTGGCATGCTACTCTTCTCCTCTCACTACTTCTTTCAACCACCGGCCGTATCCCACTGAAGCAGTACTTATCAAGGATAATATTTATACTTCGTTATTTCTTATTTTATTTCTTCTCTCTGCTCTTTGCATTTGTCATCTTTTATAATAATACTAATAATAATATAATAGCTTTATTACTACAAGTACATGTACAAGGTACACAGGCCTAGCTGACATCAATGACATAATTACTATATACTAGAAAGCCGCTTGTTATGCTGAGCATTTCGGGCAGGAATCGAATCCGGACCCTCACTGTGGGAAGCGAGAGCTCTTTTCCTTGTTTTCTTTTTCTCCCTTTTCGTTTCAGTGTTTCTCTTTTCATTGTATTTACTCTTTTCGTTGCGTTATATTGAGTTCTAGTGATGCTGAAAAATTATTAATGTCTATCTCTGTGTTATGTAAGCTAGTAGATGAAGTATGCTACCATGTCACCTTAAATGGGGAAGCGCTGAAAAGCTCTTGGCCTAATCTTTTAGACCAAGAGCCCTTCACCATCATGAAGGCAGTGATCTTGAAAGGTCTACCAGACGGGGCGGACTTATGTCATTAGAGATATGTTTCCCTTCTGTCCAGGTCCTTCATGGGTCCTACAATGGTCCCCACACAGATTCTTAACAGGTCCTTTAGAAGTCTTGAAACCTGCAACCTCCCGTGGTCGTAGGTCCAACACAGGCCCTATAAACTACAACCTTTCATGATGTGCAAGCCTGAAACAGGCCCTGAAACTCATAACCATCGTACAGGTTGGTATTAAAGTTTTTATAGACCTAGGGCACTCATGATGGTAGGCTCTCAAGGTAGGTCTAGCTTAGGTTTCCAAGGGAGGTCTATAGTAGGCTTCCAAGGTATGTCTATCGTAGGGCTTCAGGGAGATCTTTCGTAGGCCCCAATCCAGGTCTATCATAGGCTCCCAAGCCTGTTGTAGAATCCTAAGGTAGGTCTATAAATATTTACATGAATAACTAGTGTAATGAAAACTTATCAGTGCTCAATAATAACCCATATGGAGACAAAGTCAGGAGATTAATTGTTCTGTATATTTCGATCCCCTTCTGGGATCCTCTTCAGCAGATACATTTACATATGCAATGCAAATGATTCAATTAGGGCAAATTATTTAATTCAAGTATGTCTTTTGACTCATCTGAGATATCTGAGAGCTTTAAGCATTTTTTCATTGACCTTGGGCACTGTGACCAGTGAATAAGTCAGTGCCTGCCATCCTTCGCACTCTTGACCCGAGTTTGTGTTGGCAGGTCATGTCTTGCGGGTGCACAAGCTGGTGCTGCTGGCCTCCTCGGCCCACTTCGAGCGCATCCTGCAGGCGTCGCCGGAGGGCCAGCAGCCTGTCATTATCATGGACGGCACCAGGTATGCTGATCTGCGGGCACTCGTAGACTACATGTACCGTGGAGAGGTCAACATCGAACAGGACCAGCTCTCCTCCCTGCTCAAGACGGCAGAGACGCTCAAGGTAAGGCTCAGTTCTGCTTTAATTAGGAATAATAGGTCTCTTCCCTGCTCAAGACGGTAGAGACGCTCAAGGTAAGGCTCTTCTCTGCTTTCTCTTTGTAATTAGGAATAATAATTGTGGAAAATTGCGTTAATCTGAATGTAACTCATTATGTACATAACAGTAAATGATAACAAAGATAATTATTATTTATCAAAGTTACATAGACAAGTAGGAATTTGGGACACCTAGGTCACAAAAATGTCCCCCTTCGATACCTACAACTGTCATATCCACAAGTTGCTCTAGACCTATTTTTTTTTTTTTTATTATTCGCCGGTATTCTCCCGGCCCGGGTCTTTTCCAAGTAGTGGTGACCCGGCCTTGGCTCCCTATCTGGGGAGTGTCTCGAGACTTAAGTCTCCCATGGGAGGAGGTACAGTACCTCCTCATCTTTGGGACCAAGTGTCCCCAGGCCTAGCCACATTCCCCGCCCTCACGGGGCTCGTAGAGAGAAGCTAGGCCTCTGGTCTGCCATCTACCCCGCCTCAAAGGGCTCGTGGGGATGGCAGTCTTATGAGCTGCAGATGGTAGCAAGCTCAGGCCTCTCTAGACCTATTAATTACAAATGAAATATGTATCACTAGGAATTCTGGTAAATATATAAATTTGTGGACTGTATATTAAAATTAATAAATGATTATATATATATACACATTTACATAACAGGAGAATATATCTAATATCACTCACCAATTTGACTGGAGATTAAGGTGCATCATACTCAGAAAACCTCAGTCTATCTATGAAAATAACACTGGCCAGAGTTACAACATAAGACTTATCTGAGGTTCCTGGAGCTGTCTTGTCCAGTCGCCTGATATCTCAAGTTATGCAGGAATGCACATCCAACAGTTCCGGCTCCTATTTGAGAAGTGTCAGCCCAATTTTACATCTAGAGCACGAAAATTCTTCCCATTATTCACTAACGTTTCTGTTGTCTCAATTCAAACATGGCTAGTCTATTCTGCGCAGGCGCAGAGTTTCCCATTTTTTATAACATAATTTTTATTAAATACAGTATGGCCATCTATTTACATATAACTACTCTATTTCTGGAACTTTGTATAGAAAGGGGTTTAGTTATAGGTAATACATATTTTAAGAAAAAGAGGATAAATAAGTATACACGATATGATGTAGGGCGAAATGACAGTAGTTTGTTGGATTATGTATTGGTAGATAAAAGACTGTTGAGTAGACTTCAGGATGTACATGTTTATAGAGGGGCCACAGATATATCAGATCACTTTCTAGTTGTAGCTACACTGAGAGTAAAAGGTAGATGGGATACAAGGAGAATAGAAGCATCAGGGAGAGAGAGGTGAAAGGTTTATAAACTAAAAGAGGAGGCAGTTAGGGTAAGATATAAACAGCTATTGGAGGATAGATGGGCTAATGAGAGCATAGGCAATGGGGTCGAAGAGGTATGGGGTAGGTTTAAAAATGTAGGTGTTAGAGTGTTCAGCAGAAGTTTGTGGTTACAGGAAAGTGGGTGCAGGAGGGAAGAGGAGTGATTGGTGGAATGATGATGTAAAGAGAGTAGTAAGGGAGAAAAAGTTAGCATATGAGAAGTTTTTACAAAGTAGAAGTGATGCAAGAGGGAAGAGTATATGGAGAAAAAGAGAGAGGTTAAGAGAGTGGTGAAGCAATGTAAAAAGAGAGCAAATGAGAGAGTGGGTGAGATGTTATCAACAAATTTTGTTGAAAATAAGAAAAAGTTTTGGAGTGAGATTAACAAGTTAAGAAAGCCTAGAGAACAAATGGATTTGTCAGTTTAAAAATAGGAGAGGAGAGTTATTAAATGGAGAGTTAGAGGTATTGGGAAGATGGAGGGAATATTTTGAGAAATTGTTAAATGTTGATGAAGATAGGGAAGCTGTGATTTACGTGTATAGGGCAAGGAGGAATAACATCTTGTAGGAGTGAGGAAGAGCCAGTTGTGAGTGTGGGGGAAGTTCGTGAGGCAGTAGGTAAAATGAAAGGGGTAAGGCAGCCGGGATTGATGGGATAAAGATAGAAATGTTAAAGCAGGTGGGGATATAGTTTTGGAGTGGTTGGTGCAATTATTTAATAAATGTATGGAAGAGGGTAAGGTACCTAGGGATTGGCAGAGAGCATGCATAGTTCTTTGTATAAAGGCAAAGGGGATAAAAGAGAGTGCAAAAATTATAGGGGATAAGTCTGTTGAGTGTACTGGTAAAGTGTATGGTAGAGTTATAATTGAAAAAATTTAAGAGTAAGACGGAGAATAGGATAGCAGATGAACAAGGAGGCTTTAGGAAAGGTAGGGGTTTTGTGTGGACCAGGTGTTTACAGTGAAACATATAAGTGAACAGTATTTAGATAAGGCTAAAGAGGTCTTTGTGGCATTTATGGATTTGGAAAAGGCGTATGACAGGGTGGATAGGGGGGCAATGGGGCAGATGTTGCAAGTGTATGGTGTAGGAGGTAGGTTACTGAAAACAGTGAAGAGTTTTTACGAGGATAGTGAGGCTCAAGTTAGAGTATGTAGGAAAGAGGGAAATTTTTTCCCAGTAAAAGTAGGCCTTAGACAAGGATGTGTGATGTCACCTGGTTGTTTAATATTTTATAGATGGGGTTGTAAGAGAAGTAAATGCGAGGGTCTTGGCAAGAGGCGTGGAGTTTTTAAAAAATAAAGAATCACACACAAAGTGGGAGTTGTCACAGCTGCTCTTTGCTGATGACACTGTGCTCTTGGGAGATTCTGAAGAGAAGCTGCAGAGATTGGTGGATGAATTGGTAGGGTGTGCAAAAGAAGAAATTAAAGGTGAATACAGGAAAGAGATAAGGTTATGAGGATAACAAAAAGATTAGGTGATGAAAGATTGAATATCAGATTGGAGGGAGAGGAGTATGGAGGAGGTGAATGTATTCAGATATTTGGGAGTGGACGTGTCAGCGGATGGGTCTATGAAAGATGAGGTGAATCATAGAATTGATGAGGGAAAAAGAGTGAGTGGTGCACTTAGGAGTCTGTGGAGACAAAGAACTTTGTCCTTGGAGGCAAAGAGGGGAATGTATGAGAGTATAGTTTTACCAACGCTCTTATATGGGTTTTGAAGCGTGGGTGATGAATGTTGCAGCGAGGAGAAGGCTGGAGGCAGTGGAGATGTCATGTCTGAGGGCAATGTGTGGTGTGAATATAATGCAGAGAATTCGTAGTTTGGAAGTTAGGAGGAGGTGCGGGATTACCAAAACTGTTGTCCGAGGGCTGAGGAAGGGTTGTTGAGGTGGTTCGGACATGTAGAGAGAATGGAGCGAAACAGAATGACTTCAAGAGTGTATCAGTCTGTAGTGGAAGGAAGGCGGGGTAGGGGTCGGCCTAGGAAGGGTTGGAGGGAGGGGGTGAAGGAGGTTTTGTGTGCGAGGGGCTTGGACTTCCAGCAGGCGTGCGTGAGCGTGTTTGATAGGAGTGAATGGAGACAAATGGTTTTTAATACTTGACGTGCTGTTGGAGTGTGAGCAAAGTAACATTTATGAAGGGATTCAGGGAAACCGGCAGGCCGGACTTGAGTCCTGGAGATGGGAAGTACAGTGCCTGCACTCTGAAGGAGGGGTGTTAATGTTGCAGTTTAAAAACTGTAGTGTAAAGCACCCTTCTGGCAAGACAGTGATGGAGTGAATGATGGTGAAAGTTTTTCTTTTTCGGGCCACCCTGCCTTGGTGGGAATCGGCCAGTGTGATAATAAAAAAATAAAAATATACAGTATTTTCCACAATAATTCTTAAATACTGAATAGCTGCAGCTTCTTGCAGAAAGCTTCCAAGTGTCCAAGTCGTTGAAAAATAATTTGTTTGCCGCCTTGTAAGGTCAGATTCAGCACGTTCAAGAATGCTAGGGTACAAAGAAAGTCTTTTATCTTGCATCTGAGTTTGGTACACCTGTGTATTGCTCAGCTGTTCATTTTGAAGAAAGAAAAAGATATCTTTCCAAAGAGCAAAGAAATGCTGGAGCGTTTTTCCAGCACTCAGCCACCTGATACTCGAGTGCAGTGGTAGGTCATTGAATTCTGCATTCAGTTTTCAAGGAAAGATATGAATTTTCTGTTTCTGTGACTTATTACTGCTTCTGAGTAAATTCACTATGCTGACAAAATACTGCATGACATCACTCATCTGTAATACCTTGCCACATAATGCTTCTTATAATAATGTAATAATAATATGTTTATTTCTACAAGTACATGTTATATAGGTCTAGCTGACATCAGTGACATACTACTTTATAGAAAGCTGCTTGTTATGCTGAGCATTTCTGGCAAATTGGGTTTTGTCCCAGGATGCGACCCACACCAGTCGACTAACACCCAGGTACCCATTTTATACTGGTGAGTGAACAGGAACAGCAGGTGTCTTATGGAAACATGTCCCTAATGTTTTCCAGCCATACTGGAGATTTGAACTCGGGACCTCAGTGTGTGAGCTGAGTGCGCTAACGATCGAGCTACGGTGTATAATGCAAGGTAGTGTGATACAATTAACAATTTTCCTTCAGCAAGCCAACTAACCCCACATTACTGCTGGTCACAGCCCTTGCAGTATCTGTTACAATCCAGGAACACTTCTCATATCCTAAATATTCGTTGACAACTAACTTGAGAGCAGCATAAATATCTGAACCTCTTGTATCACCACTTAAGGGTTGTATCTTGACTAGTTCTTCATGTACCATGAAATCCTCTTCTGTAGCATGTGATAAGATAAGATAAGATTTCGTTTGGATTTTTAACCCCGGAGGGTTAGCCACCCAGGATAACCCAAGAAAGTCAGTGCGTCATCGAGGACTGTCTAACTTATTTCCATCGGGGTCCTTAATCTTGTCCCCCAGGATGCGACCCACACCAGTCGACTAACACCCAGGTACCTATTTGCTGCTAGGTGAACAGGACAACAGGTGTAAGGAAACATGTCGAAATGTTTCCACCCGCCGGGAATCG